ACTTCGCTAAATTATAGTTACAGACAGTAGAATGTATTATTATGTAAGATTATTGCAGAGGCACGGCAAAGCGCGTCTACTCGGGAAGTATAGCCAATCGGCCATCGATAGGGAGGGCAAGGGGGTAGCTGGTATAGGTCACAAGTTATAAAAACAACATTTTATGTTTTTATAGGAAATAAAATGAAAGTTCCATTTAGTTCCATTTAGAGTAAAAATATGTTTTTACACATTACAGATAGCAAATTCCTATTTACATTTTATATTTTTTTAATATTTTTGATAATTTGTGTTTAAGAATCTCGAGAGGATCACCAAACTGTTTTCTTGTATACATTACACAAATTTCTTGGTGATAACTTCACATCAGTGGGCTAGCTACAATACTAAATACTCCATTCGCAGAAATCCCGTCTTCTAGAAAAGGAATGATTCTGTGACGTCAAATCTTGCGTATCTGAAAGAAAACACGGTCGTTCAAATCAATCACTGTATTTGGCAGTTTAGTCGTTTATAATCTGAAAAAATCTTTATTGCTGCAGAACTACTGCTTAAAAACTGGAAGGGGTGATTTGAAAAAAGGTATACATATTTTTCCCGACTTTTCATTTCATTTGAGTTTTGTGATTTTTTTCAGAGGTTATGAAACACACGTACTTGCTGTAAACGAGAAGATCGTCATCAACTCTCCAAATTTTCCAGACGAATCCGATAACGACTTCGACTGCGAGTGGACAATCGAAACGGTCGCTGACGCTGTTCTACATGTCACGTTCAACAGCTTCAATACTGAGACTGGATTCGACCGACTGTACTACCAAGATTTGCTAGGAAAAAATAGTGTATTTCAAGGAGACAGTATACCGGAGCCGTTTACTTCATCGACCGACCACAGCGGAGGTCGATCCGACCGTGCACTGTCTGAATGCATACTTTGAAGTATCCTCGTTATAACCTTTTTATTATACATTTTTCCTCCCAGGAATACATCATAGGAATGCCGAAATCCAAAACTTTTAGAACAGATTTAGCGAACTTTTTGTGTGGGGTTCGGTTAAACCCTGGTGGCAGCCATGTTTGTTTTTAATTAGAGGACGCTTACACACGTAATCGTTCCATATTTGGAATTAGCGTTTCCTAATATGGTAGAATGAAAACACCCCGTAAAATACCGCAAAATTACGGCACGCTGTAACTTATGGCGTTACGGTGACAGATGTATAATAATACCTAATATGTACACCGATAGATCCCAGACGCGAATAGCCGCTGAGATCTCGTTGAGAGTAAGAATGCCACGAGACTTGCTTTTCTGACAAAATAGTTCGTTTTTTCCTGCCAATTCTTCCATAGATCCCTTGAGTTATGTATGTTTCTGTATAACACATATTCTGAAATATAATTTATTGTGTTTAATTAATACTA